CTCTTTCCATGCCTTCACTACTTGACAGGTTGCTTTTTGTAAGGAGGAAGAGAAGGCTTGGGGAGGCCATGAACAGTTCCTCTAAGACAATTCTTTTCTCAAAAAAGTGTGATTACTAAAGTCTTAGATTTCAGCAGGTGGGGGAAAGGTGTGCATTTGGGTTAAAAAAAAAACCAAACAACAACAAACAGCAGAACTGTATGATGTATTCACAAGGATCTACTATATTCAGTTGTCTTATTGAGGAAAGGAAGGAGTATGAAGGAAGCAAACTCTTTTGGAAGTTTTCCATACAAATTGAATGATAGTGAAGTCTGTATCTATTACATTTTTCAAAGTAAATACTGCTGTCTGATGATCTCTGTCCTGACAACTAGACCTGGATATACTTTTCTAAGGAGAACTGTAACAATACAAACTTCCTGCAACACCATGTCTGCATACCCCCATCTCAAAAAACAAAAAGCTAAAAAAATTCAGAGGTGGAAATTTGTTTTGTTCTTATCTTGCAAAAAAAAAAAAAAAAAAGGCCAGTCTTCCCATATGTGGTATGCAGGAACTTATGTTCTAACTGTTGGTCCAATGTATAATGTTAGAATTGAGGTATCTTAAAGCAGGTGAATATCAGGAAGCATATGTAGGCATATAGTGTTTTCTCGTTAGCTTTGAGAATAAATTATGCTGTATCGAAAATGCACGGAAAGGAAACGAACTTCGTGTGAAACAAGACCTGGCAGAAGACTTGACTGCTGGGGTCATAGGAATTGCTGAAGTGCAGAGCATTTTGCTCAGACAGTAAAGAGGAGTCAAACCTTTGTTAAACTTCACTCCAGGACATCAGAAGTGCAAAGAAGGCTCCGGGGAGATGTTATAGCAGCCTTCCAGTACTTAAAGGATACCTACAAGAAAGCTGGAGAGGAGATTTTTGCAAGGGTGTGTAGTGATAGGACAAGGGGCAATGACTTTAAACTGAAAGAGAGTGGATTTTGATTAGATATAAGGAAGAAATTTTTACAATGAGTTTGGTGAAACGCTGGAACAGGTTGCCCAGAGAAGTTGTGGATGCCCCATCCCTGGAGGTGTTTAAGGCCAGGTTGGACGAGGCTTCGAGCAACTTAGTCTAGGGAAAGTTGTCCCTGCCCATGGCAGAGATGTTGAAACTGGATAATCATTAAGGTCTCTTCCAACCCTAACCATTCTATGATTCTATACTCTATCTTTTATGTGCATGTCTTGAAATATAATTCTGACACAAAAGTTTCCAATTTTATTGATGGAAATCTGTCTTTGATTCTTAATATTAGAACTTACTCTTCAGTTTAAACATGTTGCAATTTTCAGACTTTTTGGTTTGTTTTTAGAAAGCTTAATAAGCACTAATAGATTTTTCAGGTTTTACAACTCTAGCAAATTACTTAATTAAACTTTTTAAAGTATGAACTGAGGTTCTCTGAGTTGAGACCTTAACATAATTTATACAGAGATTGTCTGTTCCAGTCTCCTCTTCTTCCTATATGATTAGTAGCTGAACATTGTGACTAAAACACTGTCTTCTGATAATATTGGGATTTCCTAGGCCATGAGGAACGATGCGAAGTGAAGTAAAAATATTAGAAACGAGGGAAGTGTTTAGAGCCTGAAAGGCGTCATAAAGAAGTCGGCCTACTCAGCCACTAGATGGCAGTTAAGTATTTTTGAATGAACTGTGCAAGGCACTTGTAAGTCATTCCCGGGGGGGTCCTGCAGATACCCTACAGTGACTATATTGATTTCTTATTTTTTTTATAGTCAGAAAGTGGTGGCTTTCTGGTGGTTAATAAGTTAGCCTGTAAAAAGTTTGCATATTTAGTGTCTTTAATCTGACCAAGCTTTAGTAATTGGAGAATCTGTCAAAGATAATAAAACTGTGTCCTAAAAATAATAACAAAATCCCAAAATATTAAGTGTTTAGAAAGTTCTGTTCTGTCACTAAATGTTTTGGTTTGATGGTGTTTTTTTGTTTTTTAACTAGTGAAGTTTTTTTGTTTTTAACTAACACATTTAATTTGGACTACAAGACTTCTCAATGACTGTAGTGATAATCTAAACGTTTTACTGCTGAATTAACATCATTTAAATAAAGAGGTCAGTTTTCTGTTAGATATGAAATTAA